ATACTTGATTTTCAAATCTCCAGAATTTACTCAGAAAAATATAAATTTTAATCAAACACCCTTCATTGTGTCTTTTTGTACAAAGCCCTCTAACAAAGCACAGCCTAGAATGCAAAAGTGAATAGTCCTGCCATTAAATAAATTGCTCCCTGAGGTGAACTCATGTGCTATTTACTGACTGAATTTTTACAAGGCCATTACTATTCAAAGGTTTTATAGGGAAAAAAATCTTTTTCAGTGTTTGAGAATAGTGAATAGTTCTTTCAGATATGACAGGATTAATCCACAAAATAAATACCAATAGCAGTTAAGAGCCTGTGTGTGTGTGTGTGTGTGTGTGTGTGCTGTGTTGTGTTATGTTGTATTGTCTTAATTATTACTACTGCCTCAGTATTTAAAACAAATAGCCGTGGAAGAGCCCAGAAGTGTCTTTGTGTGTATATACATCTTATATTGAATTGAAAAATTATGAGACAAACGTTTAGATAGCCTTGGTGTTGAACTACAGATACCAGTTGTACATATATATCCAACAAAGAACATGTTTCTGTGGTTCTGCCGGTCATACCCAAAGAAAGAAAGAACTAGGAGAGATATCAGTGGAAAGTGTTACAGTGATCAAGGTTAAAGAAAAATTTTGAGGTTAGACCAAAACTATGCATTTATTCAATGTGAGAAAATAAAGGAGAAATGGAATAACAAGTGTAAGTTTCCTACCTAATTTCAGAAACTTAAAATTTAGGGCACTTTACAGAAACTGCAATAGGCAGCTTGAGTACAGCTATGGAAGTGCTTCTTTTTGTGATTGAAAAGCCACAAAGTGAACCGCATTTGGTACAGGGCAAGACTATATAAATTAGTTCAGAAGAGGTGACAAGATCCAAGGAGGTTAAATAGACCGTTGACCCGGTGGGTCTTGCCTACTGGAAACACAGGCTAACAAGTACTTTCATGCTTTTGTGCTTCCCAGCAAAGCATCCTCTGCGTCCATCAGAGTACATTAGACCCCAGGTGGATGTGTTGTTCCTGCTCATTCGCCTCCTAAGTCTGTCCCTGCGTCTTGCTAGGCAGCCTATTTCTGTGATGTTTTGTTTTTTCCTCTTGTAGATCATTTATGTCAGGGTATAGTATGCCTGCTTAACACACTAACCTGAGAGCCCCTTCCTCAAGGCCAGGAATCATACCTGTTTTCTTAGAAGTCCCTGCCTAGCACCTGGCAAAAAGCAGGAATGTCCAGTAAGGGTTTGGTTATTGTCCGACCCAGTAGGGTTCAGGTTCTTTTCTAGCCTCCGTATCCATGCATAAACCACATGTAGCTTGTTGACATTTATCCCATGTCTCCTCGTACAGCCAATTCATGTAGTAAGTCAGGCAGAGCATAGACTTAGGAGCCAGATATACTGGGGTTGAATCTTGGTTCTACCACTTCCTCGACTTCTCTGAACCTCCATTCCCCATCTAGAAAGGTCAGGTAATATATCTACCTTACTGCCTTGTCCTGAAGATGTGCCCGGCACAGAATAAACACTCAAGAATTGGGGACCACTGTTATCATTATGTTTCTTTAGAATGTAATTCAGTGCATACTTTGGGGGTGTTCCAAAATGAATCAAATGTAGACCTGCCTTAAGGACATGACAGCACAAGAGAGTGAACAAGTGCACACGTGGGGTAACGCATGGAGTGTGCTAGTGGAGCACATATTGCTTGGAAGCCTGAAGTTCACAGACCAACAAGTGATACAGCCCTGGTCCAGTACAGCCAGATTTACTTCCCAGGGGTTAGACTGGTCATCTTGGTGTTCACTAGATACAAAGGTTGTTTTATTTTTTTAAATTTTTTAAGTTTATTTTTGAGAGAGAACATGAGCAGGGAAGGGGCAGAGAGAGAGAGAGACACAGACACACAGAATCCAAAGCAGGCTCCAGGTTCTGAGCTGTCAGCACAGAGCCTGATGTGGGGCTTGAACTCGTGAACCGTGAGATCATGACCTGAACCTAAGTCCGACGCTTAACCAGCTGAGCCACCCAGGTACCCCATGTATTCCAAATATTTCTTTAATGTTTATTCATTTTATAGAGGCAGAGACTGTACACAAGGGGGGGGGAGGGGCAGAGAGAGAAGGAGACACACAATCCGAAGCAGGCTCCAGGATCTGAGCTGTCAGCATAGAGCCTGATGTGGGGCTTGAACCCACAAACTGTGAGATCATGACCTGAGGTGAAGTTGGATTCCTAACTGACTCAGCCCACACAGGCACCCCCAAGGTTGTTTTATTTTAACCTTAGAGTATTAATAAACTGCCACCTAGATTATGTATCTGCATAAGTGATGCTGGTAGAAACAATAGAAACTAAGATTCCACTAAGATAACTGAATTAAAGTGATAATTAGGTTTCTATGGTATCCATTGAATTTTTTTAGTATACAAACATTTCGTTGGTATTTTTGTTATTGCAGTTCAGTAAGTCCAGAAGTTAAGAATTGGCTTTAGTAACTTCATAAACTTGGTATTGTTGAACTCTGCTATTGACAATATGCAGGGGTCAGGGGCTCAGTGGGACATTTGGAACTAAGTCCTTCATATCATCTCTTGTTTTACAAGGGTTTCAGTAAGGGATGATGAGAGAGCTACCTTTGAACTAATTTCCAGAGTTTTGTTCTCTACTCAGAACAAAGTAACAGTCATGAGAAGAGCAGGTAGAAGGAAATGGATTTGGTTAAGGCCTTTTCAGGAACAGCAAAGGGAAATGAGGACTGATTTGTGCCTTGCGCCTTTTCTTATCCTACTTGATATCCACTAACATTTTCAGGGAAAGAATACCAAGAACCTGGTAGCCATAATCATTCAAAATTTAAAAGTATCCACAGTCTCTTCAGTAGACGAATGGTCAAACTGTGGTACATCCATGCAATGGAATACTGCCCAACAATAAAAAGAATTAAACTATTGATACACACAGCAATGCCGATGAATCTCCAGAGAGCCTGTGCTGGGTCAAGAAAAGTCAGTCTCAAAAGATTGTATACCGTATGGTTCCATTTCTATAGCATCCTCAACCTGACAAAATTACAGAAATGGGGAACGGGTTAGTTAGTCGCCAGGGGTTGAGAAGGGATAGGAGGAAATGAGAGTGGCTGTAGAAGGGCAAAATGAAGGGTCTCTTTGGTGATGAAAATACACTGTAGCTTGACTGCCAGTGTCAGTGTCGCAGTTATGACGTTGCATGGCAGTTTTGCAAGATGTTCCCATTGGGGGAGCTGGGTAAAAGATACATGAGATCTCTCTGTATTATTTTTTACAACTGCACATGTATCTACAGTTATCTCCAAAAGTCAAATTTGTCAAAAAAAAAAAAAAAAATTACCCGCAGTAAGTTACACGTAGATAACCACTTGATTTGTGGCTTGTGCCCCAAATCTTTACCATAATTAAATCATACTGAGAAAAGCAGTTGCTTAGATAGCAACTTTTTTTCCCATTATAGAACACTTGGAACATATGGACAAGAACAGAATGAAGTATAAATAGGAAAGTAAAGATCACTGCTGTTACACTTCTGGTGTATTTCATTCCATTTTTTTTCCTGAGCTTGTATATGTATTTTTTTCATATGGATGCATACTTTAATCATTCCCTAACTATTTGATATTTTCCCCATTTTCTATGATAAATATCCTCATACATAAATCTTTTTTGCATTTTCCTATTTTTTTCCTTAAGGCAGTTCTTTTTGGAAATGGAATTACTGAGTCCAAGTACAAGAGCATTTTGTAAGGCTCTTTGCTATATGTTACCAGATTGCTTTCTGAGAAAGTGATACTAATTTACATTCTCACCAGTAAGTGCATGCAATTGGATGCAGCCCAAGCCCAGAAGTAATTAGAAATAGCATGGAATTCCAGAACAGAAAGATTCAAGATTTTTTATCATTATCTAAAGCAGAATTTCTCAACCTCAGCACTATTGACATTTTGAGCTGCGTAATTCTTTCTCATGAAGGGCTGTCCTGAGTATTGTAGGATGTTTAATAGCATCCCAGGCCTCTACACACTAGATGATAATAGCACAAACTGTCCCCCCACCCTCACCATAGTTGTGACAACAGAAATGTCTCCAGACTGCCAGATGTCCCCATGGGGGGCAAAATCACCACTGCTTGAAAACTGATCCAAGATTTTCGTGTGCAATGAGGCACTTACTGTTAGAATTTCTCAAACACTGTATACACTAATGTTGGGAAGCTGGCCTCTTAGGGCTCTTTCTCTGGAGTATGTATGGGCACACTGTCTGCAGATTAAAATAATCATTTCTTTAAAGCTGTGTAAGTGACTTTATTACTCCCCAGTATATATCTTTCCCTACTGAAGCCTCTCTGGATTCCTGGTTATAAGAAGGAATTTTAAAGAACGTGATCACACTACCATTTCCTTTGCCCTGCGGAAATGATTGACCCTAATATTTAATACGGTATTTGGAAGTGTCGGTCAATATGCTCAGCCTTTGTCTTTGTCTTTTGAACTAAAAGGGCCTAACAGATTGAGAACAACTTGATTCTCTTCACTTTGTACATAAAGGAAGAAGAAAGAATGCATTAGGATTTTTACTAACTTAAGTTTCACCCTTAAAAATCCTAATAAGCTTATTTTACTCAGCAAGAGCACCCACTCGAGGCTTGTCCCTCAAATTTACAAAGCTAGCTTTGCCTTATTCCTGTAAGGCTCACCTGTGTTATTTCTGTAATATTTTAAAACATTATATGGTTATGGAAAGGAAACCCTCTTCCTAATGTATAGTTTGCTGCACCCAGATCTTCCAGTAACTCAGTTATAGTGAATTTCCTTAATGCAAGTAAGACCAAAGTCTATTGAGTACAGACATGAACCTTTGAAGTTCTGTTTGTTGGTCCATTGTTCTGAAGTGCAAGATCTGGGTTACAAAGGTTGGTTTGACATTGACTTTCTGTACTGGCTGTTTCTTTTCTGTTTGTCTCTCTTAGGAGCAGTCTCACAGGTGCTGGACAGCCTGGAAGAAATTCACGCACTTACAGACTGCAGTGAAAAGGACTTAGATTTTCTACACAGTGTTTTCCAGGATCAGCATCTTCACACACTACTAGATGTAAGTCTGTCTGGTTTTTTTTTAACTGATTTATTTTTAGTATACTTTTTTTCCTCTACATGAATTTACAGGTGTCCATCCTAAGTAACAGTCCATTTTCAGTTGCTTTTAGTGTGTGAGAAACGTGGGAAATCATCCATTATAGATTCATAACTGAAAGTGTATATAGTACAAAAGCAATATAGCCTAGCAAGTCACCATGAAAAGACTTATATATGTCTCTCTGTGTGTGTGTGTGTGTGTGTACACTAGACGGATCCACTGATCTTAGCTGTGATTACTTTTTGTTGCTCTAAACATGGTTTTTTTTTTTTTTTTAAATGTTTTTATTTATTTCTAGGAGAGAGAGAGAGAGAGACAGCGTGAGCAGGGGAGGGTCAGAGAGAGAGGGAGTCACAGACTGAAACAGGCTCCAGGCTCTGAGCTGGCAGTCAGCACAGAGCCCGACGCGGGGCTCGAACCCACGAACCGCGAGATCATGACCTAAGCGAAAGTCGGATGCTTAACCGACTAAGCCACCCAGGCGCCCCGCTCTAAACATGTTTTAAAACCTTATACCTGAAGCATGAATATAAGAGAGAGAAAAGTGAACAAGATACTGTGTAATGGACTGTATTCACACACATACACACACACATTTCATATTTAACATTGCTGCTTTTTATGGACTCCATCTTCTTAAAGCATAGGAATATATGCCATCATTAAATATGACAGGCTCCACTGACAGCAGATTAAGATATAAAGAAAAATCAGAAGCTGGGAGTTCACATCTGCCTTTATTTTGGTCACATTTTAAGTAACATGCCTTTCTTAGATAACTTGGTTGACTTCAGCAGTGCAAACTTTCTCAGTACATATTAGTCTCCTAGTACGCGTTAGTCTTTTTTATAAGAAAAACCTTCCTTAATAAGAGAACGATGCCTGCTTTGCAGTGCCTAACACTTCTTGGTGCTAACTCTGATTAATCCACCATAGGACACAAATTTCACTAAAGCAACATTCCCCAGGACGTATTCTACAGCACGTTGCTCTGGGAGATAGTAATTGGCTTTGCCATGGAGGAGGAAAGGTGCAGATCTTAAATGTACTGGTTAAGTTATTTATTGACTAAACAAGTTAGGGAAATGCTACATTCTTTACTTTTATACATGTTCATAGTGGATATTAGTACTATTTTAATGTTTTTATTATTTTTTGAGAGACAGAGACAGCAGGGGAGGGGCAGAGAGAGAGGGGAGACAGAGGATCCAAAGCAGGCTCTGCACTGATGGCAGAGAGCCCAAAACTGGGCTGGAACTCACAAACTGTGAGATCAGGACCTGAGCTGAAGTTGAACACTTGACGACTGAGCCACCCAGATGCCCTGGATATTAGTATATTAACAGCTCTGAGATGCCCTATAGCAAAGAAATCTGAGGGACTCTAACAGCATTGCTGAAACTAATTTTGGCATAGGACTTGTACTCACAGCCCTGTCAAGTTGACAAGGACCAGTTGGGGAACAGCTTTAAGCCTGTGAGTGTTGCATATGTCCCAAGTTCACACTGAGTGCAGTCGTAGGTAACCTACAGTTGCTTCTCTGCATAATGCAGTCAAATCAAATTAATTATCAAATTTTAAAAATTAGTTTGGCTTTTTTACATAGTGTCTGTCTGAATCAGGCCTAACTAACTGCCATAGCACGCAGTCCTAAAATTTGAGTGGCTTAATAGGATAAAAGTTTCTCGCTCACATCACAGTCCAGCACAGGTGGATTGGGGAGGGGGAAGGGAGGTCTCTTCCATACAGTCATTCAGGATCCAGGCCTCTTCCACAGTGTGGTTCTTCTCTCTCCCAGGGTTTTGGAACCTTCCACCGCATCATTTGCATCCAGCAGCAGATAAACGAAAATAGAAAATTTTGCAGGGTCATGGGTGGAAATGGGCTGTATCACTTTTGCCCACATTTCAATGGCAAGTACTTGTTACATGCCTACCTATCTATAAGAGAGCCGGGAAACATAGTTTTTAAATGCGCCACATGAAATAAGCCAGACAGGGAAATATAAATACTGCATGGTATCACTTATACGTGGAATCTTTAAAATAAAAAAGTCAAACTCCTGGAAACACAGCAGAAGGTCAGTTGCTCCATGCAGGAGCTTGGGAAATGGGGGAGAGGTTGGTAAAAGGGTATATGATGAATAAGGTGTGATGGTCAAATGCATAACATGGTGACTATAGTTGATAGACTGTATTATATAATGAAATTTACTAAAAGAGTAGAACTTAGGTGTTCTCACAAGAAAAAAAAAGTTAGGGGCACCTGGGTGGCTCAGCTGGTTAAGTGTCTGACTCTTGGTTTCAGCTCAGGTCATGATCTCACAGTTCAGGAGATTGAGTCCCATGTTGGGTGGGCTCTGTGCTGATAGTGCAGAGCCTGATGGGGATTGCCTGCCTGCCTGCCTGCCTCTCTCTCTCTCTCTCTCTCTCTCTCTCTCTTAAATAAGTGAACATTTTTAAGTTAAATATGTGAAGTGAAGAATGTAGAATGTGTTGATTAACTTGATTGTGGGAATCTTTTTACAGTGTACACATTTATCAAGTCCTCACGTTGTACGCTTTAAATATGTTACTGTGATGTTTGTCGATTGTACTCCGATAAAGCTAAGAAATGCACTTAGGAGGATAAGGAAATGGGTCTTTAGTGTAGTTTATCTTAGGTAATTTGAGGACACATCAGATTAAGTTTAATTTCAAATAACTGTCACTTTCCTCAGGCACCAGAAAGCCTTTGAAATGCATTCTGTTTTGTGGAGAGCTCTTGCCATTGTTGCTGCTGCTTAGCATTCCATTTTCTTCTTCATCGTTACCATCATCATAGTTGTCATTATTGTTTTGTATCACACAAGTTCCATCCTTTACTAGATCTAGCAAGTGGGATTTTTTTCTTTTTTTTTTTTTTATTTACATCCAAGCTAGTTAGCCTCTAGTGCAACAATGATTTTAGGAGTAGATTCCTTAATGCCCCTTACCCGTTTAGCCCATCCCCCCTCCCACAACCCCTTCAAGTAACCCTGTTTGTTCTCCATATTTAAGAGTCTCTCATGTTATTGTCCCCTTCCCTGTTTTAATATTATTTTTGCTTCCTTTCCCTTATGTTCATCTGTTTTGTATCTTAAAGTCCTCATATGAGTGAAGTCATATGATATTTGTCTTTCTCTGACTAATTTCGCTTGGCATGATACCCTCTAGTTCTATCCACGTAGTTGCAGATGGCAAGATTTCATTCTTTTTGGTTGCCAAGTAATAGTCCATTGTATATATATGCCACATCTTCTTTATCCCTCTGTCAATGGACGTTTGGCCTCTTTCCATACTTTGGCTATTGTTGATAGTGCTGCTATAAACATTGACACAGCACACCTGTATCCCTTGGATAAATACCTAGTAGTGCAATTGCTAGGTTTTAGGGGAGTTCTATTTTTAATTATTTGATGAATCTCCATACTGTTTTCCAGAGTGGCTGTACCAGTTTGCATTCACAACTGGGATTTTTTTTAATGTTTATTTTTGAGAGACTGTGCCGCGTGCAAGCAGGGAAGGGGCAGAGAGAAAGAGGGAGACAGAGAACCCAAAGTAGGTTCCAGGTTCTGAGCTGTCAGCACAGAGCCCAGTGTGGGGCTCAAACCCATGAACCATGAGATCATGACCTGAGCTAAAGTTGGACACTTTAACCAACTGAGCCACCAAGGCACCCCACAAGTGGGATATTTGAAAGAAGCTGCAGCAAGGTGTAGGGATTTGGTTTATTTCAATGTAGTCAGTGGTTAGGTCATTGCTAAGATCTAATGACCTTTTAGATCAAGGCCTTTTTGTCATTTAAAGGCTCAGAGAAGCCCAAACTGGTTGTCAGGGTGGTTTGGTTTTTTTTTTTGTTTTTTTTTTTTTTTTACTAATGTAACAAGGCATCTGAGCACACCCAGCTTGAGACTGCAGGGGAAATACAGGAACATCACTAGCTTCTACAAGGAGGGGCAGATATTCAGGCGCAAAGTGGACTTTGGAACTGAACCAGGCCACCACTTATCGCTCAATGCTAAGCTTTTCAGACCTCACTGAAAACATGCCTTTTGAACAACTGCTGCATTCCTGGGTAGGCATTGTGACAACTTCAGAAGAGATCCCTAGATTTTCATGAAGAAAAACACACTTAAAGTTCCTTTGGATTCTTATGAATTCTAAAGTTAAGAAAGCGTCTACAGTATCAGCACCTGCCCTGTCAGTGCATCTCAATTTGAAAATGAGCAAGTGGACCAAAAAGGAGCTGTGCCCAGTAAAAAGACACCATGTCTGCAGGATTTTGCAGACAAGTGCTGCACACGAATCCCAAAACCCGCCTGAAATGATTTCCCTTAAGGTCATTCACTGGGCAGTGCTGGGTTCTGAAGGTCCACACTGACCCCTCCTTCAATGAAAAGCTTAATCGTCATGAATGACCTAAGCCATCATTAGAATGTGCCCTCATGATCTGCAGCCCATAAATACTGTTCATTAAACCCTGGTCTCAGACTGTGTTTCAGTAATATAATCAGTTGACGTTTTCAAGTAGCTGCCATATAGAGAAATCTAATCATTGAAACCATTTTTTTTTTTTTTATTTCTGAGAGAGAGACAGACAGACAGACAGACAGTGTGAGCAGAGGAGGGTCAGAGAGAGGGGGAGACACAGAATCCGAAACAGGCTCCAGGCTCTGAGCTGTCAGCACCGAGCCCAACGCGGGGTTCGAACCCACAAACCATGAGATCATAACCTGAGCCGAAGTTGGACGCTAAACCGACTGAGCCACCCAGGCGCCCCTGAAACCATTTTTAACACTTAAGTGCTTATGTAAAAAGGAACGTGATATGACCAACTCTTGAGAAAAAGCTTTTCAAACATTCACCATTCATTTCTCTTCCATCTAATGTTCCATAGCCTGTGCTTGGATTGGAATTGTTGTTTTACAGAATCAACAC